GCTGACCGACTTGCCGTCGTCCGCTGCAAGGTCCTCGCTTGTAGGCGGGGATTCGTTGGACAGGTCGATCACCTCGTTGGTATCGAGTTGCTTCTGGACTTCGCCGAAGGCCCATGTCCCCGGTTGCTCACACCCGCAGCAATAGTACAAGACCTTAGATGTATCTCTAGGAAAAACCAGCATTCGCCTGCACCCACTTGGACAACCTTGCTAGCCTGCTTCAAAAAAATGCGAATGCACAAGCCAGGCTGGACCATAGCGCACACGCCACCGTGAGATCCACCTCCTGGCGACGACACAGCATTCTGGAACTGCGGAGACCAGCGAAGTTGTCGGCAGAGTTTCTTGGCTGTAAAATTTTTAGAGTCATCCTTCAGGTGGTGCTCGGCGAAGAAGACCCCATCAACACTGGAAACCTGGGTGGCCAAGAAATCCTGAGCCAACCTCGGCCAAGACGTAATATTGACAAACTTGAAATGCACTCCTGTGTTGGCACCGGGCCCCGCCCCATCCTCTGCGACGTGCGAAGATGGAGAAGCCGCGGCCTATTGCGGGGCGGAGCTGGTGCTACCCGAACTGCGGAGGGGCAGCTTCGCCTCGTGCCAAGTACTGTGCCGCTGCGTTACAAAATGCTCGATACATCTCGTGAGACTGGGCCTCGGCACGCCGAGCCTTCTTGGCGGCGCGATGCTCCAGCGTGGACATGAGTAACTTCTGGTAGCGGTCGGCACCAGCTGCATCAAGCCCTTGATCGGCAGCACGTTTCTGAAGTGCTGCAAGTTCCTCGCGCTCTGCAACCAGGTCGCCAGCCTCACTTCCCATGTCACTGGCATCATCACCAATGAGGGGCTGCTGACGCCGCTGGCAAACCGTTCGATAGTGCTTCCACTGATCGATGCCAATCGGAGTACACGCTGAGAGGGCCTGCAGCTGCTGGTCGTCAAACCCATGCAGGACCGTCATGAGGATGTTATACTCCACCTTGTTGTCACGGATGCACATGATAATGTTCGGCGGGAAGGCTCCAGGAGGTGCCAGGGCAGGAGGAACACCATCAGGAGCCACACGTTGAGCAGCCGCAGGGGGGGGCCGCCGCAGCCCTCCGAGCAGCTTCGTCGATTTGATCATGGATATCTTGCTTCTTGTGGGCCTTGTACTGGTCGGGGTCAAAGGTGGACTTCTCATGATCTGCTTGCCGCTTGGCTGCGGCTGCTGACTGAAGCTCAGCGAGTGCCTCTGCGTGGGCCCGTTCATGATCGGCCAAGAGGGCTCTCGTCTTATTGAGCCTGTCCAGTCGTCATTGTACTTCCTGGGACGCCATCCTCTCATACTTGGCCGCGATCTCACAAGACTTGGCCATCTCGGTCTGCTTGGAAGATACCATCCGGTCCAGCTCCATATCAGACGGAGGCTGCACAATCGGATGGGGTGGAGCCTGAGCCTGCACGACCCCTGCAAGTGCGGGGTACGCAGCCGACCACATCTGAAGTTGAGCAACCAACTCAGGTGGCATAGGCCCAGGAGCAGCAGGGACAGAGGGAGCATTATCAGGATGGGATTGGCCGCCATGACCATTGACAGCATCACCCGCCGGACGATACGCTCCATGACACTTGCTGCATGCGCGGTGCCCGTATCTGGTATACTCCCACTGTGCACACGGAGCAGACTTGGTAGGATGTGTCCTTTGACATTTTGTACCAAGATTCATCGCACCGATAGTCCCAGGCGCCAGCATTGCGACGGCTGCGCCTCCAAGGAGTGTGGATATTCCATGCCATCTGCGGGACGCAACTGCCGTGATGCCAGTACAACACCTGGAGATCAGCTTCACGGCGTAGGCGATATCTTGCCACAGCCCTGCGCCGCCGCTCTCGGCGGTGCCACGCAGGGGAGCTCCCACGGGCCGTAGCGCCAAGGCGCTGGGGTCGCGGTCAGTCGGGCCGGCCAGAAAGGAGGCGCCTGGGACCACAACGCCTAGAAGGAGGAGAAGGGAGAGGGAGGAGGAGGAGGAGAAGGAGGAGGAGATAAACCGGGAAGAGGAGGAGAAGGAGGAGAAGGAAGGAGGCGGAGGAGGAGGAGGAGGAGGAGGAAAAGGAGATAAAGCGGGAAGAGGGAAGAGGAGGAGGAGGAGGAGGAGGAGGAGGAAGAGGAGGAGAAAGAGGAGGAGGAGGAGGAGGAGCAGGAGGAGGAGGAGAAGGAGGAGGAGGAGGAGGAGGAGGAGGAGGGGGGAGGAGGGGGGAGGAGGAGGAGGAGGAAAAAGGGAGGAGGAGGAGGAGGAGAGGAGGAGGAGGAGGAGGGCACCCCTCCGCGGCGGCCGCGCCCCCTGGCCGACCGCCTGCTGGCTTCCGCGTGGCTCTGCGCCCGTGGCGCCCGCGCCGCCTGGCGGCCCCCGCTGCCCGAGGCACAGGGCGCGGGCGGGCCTGCCGTGCACTTCGCGGGCCCGGCGCCCGCCGCGGGGCCGGGCGGCGCGTGGTGGCCGCCGCCAGTGCTGGGGAGCTCAGAGGAGGAGAAAAGCGCAGGGCCACCACGAGGGCGAGTCCTCCTCCTCCTCCTCCTCTTCCTCCTCCTCCTCCTCTTCTTCCTCCCCTTCTTCCTTTTTGAGTTGCCCATGCCAAAGTTAGCGACTGTGGCGTTCTAATACTCGTCCTCCTCCTCCTCCTCCTCCTCCTCCTCCTCCTCCTCCACCACCACCATTCATTTTCTTCGTTAATAATTTTAAATGCCCGTCGCACCCCGAGGCCGGTCGAAAGCGCGGGCTGGGCGTTTCGCTCAAGAAATCCTTACCACTTATGGCCCTGAAGCTTAAACATTGGCAACAGCTTCACAGATGGAGGGCGGGTCGTTTTCACAATGTTGCTCTCGTCTCAGCGCCACGCACATTCAATGTTAAAAATGCAAGAGCTTCACTAATTGAGGGCGGGTGGTTGTCACCATGTGGTTCTCGCCTTAGCGCCGCGCACATGCTGCTTCAAAAATTACAAGAGCTTCACGGATTCCCATGGTCAACGTACCAGACATGGCGTTCTGGAGAGATTCAGGATTATGAGGGCGCAACAGTTACGTTGATTCGCTGTGTTGAAGTCCCAGGAATGGATTTCTGGCACGATTCAGGATCGTCAAGAGTCAACAGTCAGGTTGATCCGTGGCGTTGGAGTCCCGAGAATAATGGTTTGGTATGCTTCACGGTCGTCAAACGGTTGTCTTCCAACGAGGCAGTTCCTTGAGTGGAGATGAACCTTTGTCGGGGCCTACGAAGAGGGAGCTTGGAGGGAGGGTCTATTGGAGAGGCCTGACGGCCGGTGCCGCCGACCCTGATCGAAAGGGCTAGGAGTGGGG